CTATGAGTCGGGGCCGACTCGACGGCACATAACAACAACAACAACAACAGTTATATTATGGGTGCTCTGGTGGCATAATGCCTAACGCATTTGACTGCTAACCAGAAAGTTGGCAGGTCAAAACCCACCAGCCACTCCTTAGAAGGGAGATTCTGGTAGTTCAGTGATTAAGGAATTTGACTGCTAACCGGAATGTTGGTGGTTCAAACCCATCAGCCACTCCGCAGAAGGAAGAGGGGATGATCTATTTCCGTAAAGATTTGTTGTTGTTGTTATTTGCCATCTAGTTGGACCTGACTCATAGCAACATTTCCTTGGGTTTACGAGGCAGTATCACTACAGAAGTAGATTGCCCAACCTTCCTTCCAAGAAGTGGCTGGTGGGTTTGAACTGCTAACCTTCTGGTTAGCAGTCAAGTGCCTTAGGCACTACGCTACTAGAGCTCCTCCATAAAGATACAGCACCTCGTAAACTCAGTGGGGGTCACTGTGAGTTGGAATTGACTTGATGGCAATGAGTTTGATTTGGTTTTGGTTTAGTTTGTATTTTAAGGAGCTGTGGTGCAGTGGGTAAGGCATTAGGCTACTAACTAGAAGGTGGGTGGTTCACACCCACCAGCTGTTCCAGGAAGGAAGATTAGGCAGTCTACTTCCTTAAAAATATACAGCCTTGAAAACCATATGGGGGTCACTTGAGTCGACAGTGGGTTTGGTTTTGGTTTTTTTGGAGTTATTATCAGTAGCAGCTATATATTGGGTGCCAGAAACCATACTGTTAACACTTGATTTGCATTGCCTACTTAAATTCCTATACCATATCTATGACATAGATTGTAGCAAATGAGGAAACCAAGGCACATGTTCACATAGTCAATAGATAAGATTGGCACCCAATTTGCCCTGGCTTGGAAACGCGTTCCTAGACTATATAGTGTGTACCTATTCTTGTGTGGTTGAGAATGTTGTCATGCTCTTATGCCCTGCACTGTTGAGCGCATAGTAGATAATCATTATTTATAGATACCCTTTCTATTTAGTTTGCATAAGAAACAATTCCAAGAAGGAGTGATGTTTTGAGTATAGTTTATAAATAACAGATTATTCTTTCTCCTTTTTAGATTTGGATGGTGCTCTACTCTCAGGGCCAGATTGTGATAGAAACGTGAATGCAAGCTTGTTGGTTGAAGCCGGCTCCGGTCAAGATGGAAGTGATGCTGGTAGGTACAGCAGATTTTTAGCAAGAATATATTTAAGAGGATTTGAAGATTGGGAAGTATTTGTGTCATGCTTATCAAGGGCCCACTGCAGTTTCTTTCCCTTAGGGGAGAGTATTAAATGTAAATACTTCAATCTTTGGTAGCCGTGATGGGAGACTTTGGAAGCTTGGTGAAAATAAAAATGACGAATAGGTGTTTCTGGTTTTTTTCTGGTTAGTTTGGGGGAGTCATTTACTTTAAGACTTTTTTAAAAGTGTATAAATATCAAAGATAATCAAGGTTAATAGAGTTTATGGATTCCTATTGGTGTATAAATGGAATGGGAATGGTAATTATGCCAGTGGTTGACTAATGTATTTTACTGTTTTGATACAAAATAATAGTTAATTAGTTCTAAGTTCTAATGTCTATATTGACTATACTTTGAGGAAAGCTTGTTGCACTTGATTGAGAATCTCATAGGAGTAAAATAGAAAGGGGGAAAACCTTTCTTTGCAGAAATATGCCAAGGTGAAAAAAGTAGAAAGATAGAATTGAAAAATACCTGTTTTTCACAACCATCCACAGTAAATTGGTGAATGTAACACGCATTGATTGGGTAAAAAGTTGTTGGGGAATAGGATATTCAGTCTTCACAGATTACTCCAGTTACAAAGGGGAAAAAAGATAGCTGTTGAACATCACCATAACCGAGTGATTAAACTCAGTATCACTAATAAGAGAACAAACTGAAATTATGTGCCTCCTGATATTAAGATGCACTGAGGCATACAGCATTAACTAAGGAGTTTTTTTTTTTTTTTTTTTTTAATTGTGATTTGGGTGAAAATTTACAGAGCAAATTTGTTTCCCATTCAATAGTTAGGATGCATTTTGTTTCATGACGTTGATTGTAATCTCCTGTAATAGCTCTCTTCCGACTTCTCCCTGTGGTTACCTTTTCCCTATGTCCTTCTTTCCAATACATTTCTGTCCTGAGCTATCTTCTTGTGCAAATGCTGTCCTTTTGATTCCCCATGGTTGATTGTTTTCAGGAGTGTACCTACCTGGTCATAAATGCTTTCTTTGTAGGCCTGACTATTGTTTGTGTGGAGGCCTCAGGAGTGAGTTCAATTCCAGGTCCAAAGAGTGACTAAGGACCATAGTCTTGGGGGTTCACCAGGTTTTTTCACACCAGTAAGCTTTTTTCATGATTGTGAGTTTTGTTCATGTTCTTTTCCCAGTCTGTACAGGATTTCCTATTCTGATCCCTTTCCAAGTGGTTGGCAGTGGTAGCTGGGCACCATCTAGTTCTTCTGGTCTCATTTAGGCTGAAGTTTGCGTGGTCCACTAGTCCCTCGGACCTAAGGACTGTCCTTGGGAGAAGATTGACATGTCAAGGTCATGAAAGAGAAGAAGCAAAGTAACTAGTAGATTAAAGGAGACCGGGGAAGCACAACTAAATACAATGTGTCAGTCTTGATTAAATCCTGTGTCTAAAATACGACTGAAGGGACATTTTGGGAATAGTTGGAAATTTGGGTATGGAGTATATGATAAGTTGATATTATTGAATGTATTTCTTGATTGTAGTGCTGTGGAGAATTTTCTTGAAGATCCATGCTGAATTATTCAGGGATGAGAAGTGATAAATCTACACGTTGTTTTCAGATAGCATGAAAAAACGATATATGTACATGTACTTGAAAGCATGTGGCAAAACTAACACTTGTTGAAGATAGATAAAGGGAAATAGATATATTTATTCTTTTGAACTTTCAAACTTTGAAGTTCTTGATAACTTGAGACACTCCTTATAAATGCTGTTAGGACTTCTAAATACAGTATGCACTGAGCAAAATTAAGACATAGTTCTGAAGGTGGTTTACCCTACTTTGGGGGGAGTGGGAGGCAGTTGAAAATTGGCAGTTTATAGGTCTTAATGAGTTGAATTTTGAAGACTTTTTGATTGTATAGAAAATAATTAATAGTGCAAGAGTATTTTATTGTCTTTGTTGGCTTGGTTTAGAAATCTGGTCCAGTAATGTGTTATGATATTGTTGTTATGTGCCGTCGAGCCAGACCCAACTCAGCAATCCCTCCTTGGGTTTCCAAGGCCGTATCACTACGGAAGGAGATTGCCCAACCTTCCTTCCAAGGAGTGGCTAGTCGGTTTGCACAGTCATGTGTAAACTTTGGGATGAGTGTACTTAGACATTTTCAGGGGAGATGGTCCATAGCATTTATTTTGTTAATAAACCCAATTTTGAGTTTTCCCTTTTAAAGATAAACATGATTTTCTTTCCTTTAAAGATAACATTTTGATCTATTAATATTTTTGCAACTGAGACCAGCATTTTTCTTAGGATTACTAGGATTTCAAAAACCATGCTTTTTTTCTTAGTTTGCCACAATGGAATAATGTACCCAGATGGATATTATTAGCACAGTTTTGATTATAATATACTTACCAAGGCAATACGTTTATTCTAGTTACTTACAAAACAAAACAAAACAAAAAAATAAACTCAACTGCCATTGAGTCAGATCCAATTCACAGCGACCCCTCCTTGGGTTTACAAGGCAGTATCACTATGGAAGTAATTCTTATGTCTTTCTAATGAGGAATGGCTGGTGGGTTTGAACTACCAGCTTCTGGTTAGCAGTCTTTTGGTTAGCCTTAGGCACTATGCCACCAGAGCTCAAGTAATTTCTGTTACAGGTAATCTCCAGCTTATAATGTATACTCACATTATGATGAACCACACTTAGGACTATCTTTTTTGTTGTTGTTCGTACATCTTGTCAGTAGTAATATGCCCTACATAAAATGTTGGAGTTCATAATTTGCTAGTGTTATTATTAAATATATTCAGTGTTGTGATTTCCTGTTCAAAGCACTGCTGTAGAGCAGGTTATAAAAACTGAAAAAAGATACTTGACTTACCTCAGAACCAAATTATGATGAAGTTGTTGGAATATAACCCAACTGCATGAATGACATGTGGTTTCAAGAGATGCGTAATGTTTGGGGAAGGCTTTCTTTGAATTGTCATTTCAGATACCAGGTGTTTCTTGGGTGTTATGATGCTTTTACGCCCTTTTTTTTTTTTTGCAAATATAGTGAAAGATGGAATTTGAAGTATGAAATAATCTCTACTTCTGAATCTTCAGAATATTCCTTGTCTCCTTGTTCTTGTAGATGGTGGATAATAGGTGGTTGTAGATACTAACAGGAGCTCTGGTGGCTCAGTGATTAAGAGCTTAGTTGCTAACTGAAAGGTCAGCAATTCGAACGCACCAGCTGCTCTGTGAGAAAAAGATGTGATGGTCTGTCCCCTTAAAGATTTAGAGCCTTGGGAACCCTATAGGGCAGTTCTACTCTGTTCTTTGGTGTTGCTATGAGTTGGAATTGATTCAACAGCAATGGGTTTGGTTTTAGTTAGGTTGTGCAGTGGTTAAGTGGTTGGCTGCTAACTGAAGGTTGGTTTGAACCCACCCACAGTTCCATGAGAGAAAGATGTGGCAGTCTGCTTCCATAAAGGTTTACATGTAGCCTTAGAAACCCTGTGGGGCAGTTCTCCTTTGTCCTAAAGGGTCTCTATGGCTTGGAATCACCACAGTGATAATGAGTGGCTTTTTTTTTCCTTTGATTTAACATGATTTCTGACATTGGTTTTCCAAGGTTGTTTTTGAGCAAGTCAAAAACGTATTATAAATGTTAGTATTTTCTATGTACGTATATTCAACACGTAATTGAATGATGTATCTTTTAGGTACTGGAAATAAAATGATGGTAAGACAGGAGCAGTCCCTTTTCTTCTGGAACTTTTTTTTTTGTTTCGCACTGATGGGGGCAAAATTGATAAACTCACATTTACAGACCATTACCTCCATCAGTTACCATCATACACACAAAGAAATGGTATCACTTTAGGATTCTAAATATCTTCCCAAAAAATATGTAAAACATTATAGTTAACTTACATAATTACAGGCTTTCTTTGCCAGTGAGTAAAGTTATTCCAAGTACATTAATATTAAGTAATGAAGTGTGATTTTTAAATACTTCAGAGACTTTTTCTTTGAGTATTGATATTTTCACCAAAGTGGAAGTCTTAAGCTTTTTTAATTTTTAAGAGTCAGTGTTTCTGGTAAATAGATACGGGGAAATGGATTCTTAGGAAGTTCACTTTGCAAACGTTCTTTTATAAAAACCACACTGTCTATGGGAGGAAAATTAACAAATTGTTGTAAGAATAAGCTGTGGAGAGGAGTGTTCTAGGCAGAGTAAGTGCAGAGGCCTGTTTATCGTGGGAGGATAGCACAGAGGCTAGTATTGGTATGGAGTGACTAATGGGTGCTTGGGAGCAAAGACTGAATCAGGTAGGGCTTTATAAGACATTGAAAGTCTTTGATTTACACTCTGAATGAGATGGAGAGTTCTTGTAGACTTTGAGCAGAATAGTGACAGTCTCTGACTGCTATGTGGAGAATAGACTTTAGTAAGGCAGTAGTGGGAGCAGGGAGACAAGTTGCTTGCTGGCTGTTGAAATTTGGTGGTCAGTTGGAACTGGGTAGTGTAATAGCCATGGAGGATTCTGGATGTATTAACATTGCTGGATTATCCCTGGGTAGAAGGAATTGTAAACTCAAGGTGAAATTAAATACAGAGGGGATAGATAATTCCTGTGTGAAGGTTCTCAGGCACAAATTCCAGGCACTGTTCTATTTTGATTCTACCTTCTGACCTTTTTTGTAAGGATGGAATTAGAAAGAAAAAGAAGTTTCAGTGAACCCCAAGAGGGCAGTTACTTGCCCCAGCATATCTGAAACAACAAACAGGGGTCTAATAACTTTACATTTCTAGTTTTCCCATCTTTGTGTTCTTTGACTGTTCCATCTTATAGCTGGGCTTTAGAGTGATAAATGTCTCAAGTGATAGAATGGGTAGCAGTAGCATCTGTTAAGACAGTCCTGTTTTTGATATGTCTGAAAACCCAATATTTAAAAGTGTTTCATGTGACCTTTACCCACAATTTAGTGTTAGTTTTTGTTTTTCACTGGTATTTTTCCTATGGATGAATTCTATTTTAAATTTTAAATTGTTTGTATAAGGGAGCTCTGGTGGCATAGTACTACCTAAGGCATTTGACTGCTAACCAGAAGGCTGGTGGTTCAAACCCACCAGCCACTCAGCAGGAAGGTTGGGCAATCCACTTAGTGATAACGCCTCAGAAACTCAAGGGGAGGGGTCGTTATGAGTCAGATCCGACTCCACGGCAGTGAATGGTTTTTTGGTTTTGTTTTTTGTATAGAATCGTTACTAATCAGGGTATTTTTGTTGTGATAATGAAGTGTGAAGATATTTCAATTTTAGATTAAAATGTACTTTTTATTTAATATTTTAAATAAAACATTTCTATCATAATGCTTATAGGGTATAAATGCTTAAATTTATTTTATGTTTATTGACTGTAAAAGAGAAGTCTTAGTTATCATCTTTACTTTCCTTTTAATTTTATCAGGTACTTCACATGATTTCAAGTATGGGTTGATGCCCGGCCCTTCAAGCGATTTCAAGTATGGATTGATACCGGGTACTTCAAATGATTTTAAGTATGGATTGATACCAGGTGCTACAAATGATTTCAAGTATGGACTATTGCCCGAATCTTGGCCAAAACAAGAAGCTTGGGAAAATGGCAAGTACTAGTCAACTAAACATTTACAGAATTCTGAAATAATTTTTAAAGATTGAAAAGCTTCCATGGTTTTGGTTTAAAAAATCAGGTAGCAGTACCCTCTATCTGTTGATAGAAGAGAAAAGAAGCTAAAAACACTTGGTAGCAAATATTCTCTTTAGTGTGTAATAAGTACTTTTTGTTTTGTTTTTCTCTCAAAGGTGAATCATCTCTAAGCATGAACAAGTTAAAATGCCCTCATTGTAGCTATGTAGCCAAATACAGACGAACACTAAAAAGGCACTTGCTCATTCATACAGGAGTGAGATCATTCAGCTGTGATATTTGTGGAAAGCTGTTTACTCGAAGAGAGCATGTAAAAAGACATTCCTTGGTAAGTAACTTTAAATATAAAGTTGATGGTGATCCTTGAGATAAACTATATATATGTCAGTGAAGTTTAACGCCATTTTAACATTATTACTTGCAGATTTAAGAAAGGTTGGTTATTAGAGAAAATGCTTTAAGTAAGAATGTGATATATGAGCTGCTGCTACTGAACTCCATTCAGAAAAACAAAACAATGTTATATTCACTCATTAAATGAGTGGTTTGAGTGGTTCAAATGCATTATATTGTCTATACATACTGTCCTTATGTTTGATTTTTTCCCCCTTTGATTAGGTGCATAAAAAGGATAAAAAATACAAATGTATGGTGTGTAAGAAGATCTTCATGTTAGCAGCCAGTGTTGGAATAAGACATGGATCTCGACGCTATGGTGTTTGTGTAGACTGTGCAGATAAATCACAACCAGGAGGACAAGAAGGTGTAGATCAGGGACAGGATACAGATTTCCCTCGGGATGAAGAATATGAGGAGAATGAAGTAGGAGAAGCTGATGAAGAGCTGGTTGATGATGGAGAAGATCAGAATGATCCATCTCGATGGGATGAGTCAGGAGATGTTTGTATGTCTCTAGATGATTAACTGATCTACTATACTCCTCAAGGATGCTGCATTTGGACATAACATGAATCAGCAATTTGAATTGTTGAACTTGAAGGCTTGCATAATATGGTACATAATATGGTAGTTACGTTGCTGTGAAAACTGTAGGGTCAAAGCCTTATAGCAAAAAAAATTTTTTTATATTTGCACAGGACTGTACAGCAAACAACCTTGTGGTTGGATTACATGGAGTCCCCACATACTCAGTCACTTATCAGAGTAAAAATATTTTTTATTTATAGGATAGACAGTAACTCTTTGGGTCCTATAAAAATATAGTACCTGTCCTTACAGAGCTTACATTCATGTGCCACTTCAACATGAATGAAGAAAATCCATTTATGGAAGTAGTGACAGCTGATCCAATCATTCTTTCCATCAAACCACTCAGGCTAGTTTGTACTAGTGGAGTTTTGTTTCTGTTATTTTTATTTTTTTTTAATACAGATTTTCAGTGAGGGGCTTTTTCAAGAAACCCCATTGATTCTACTTCCTTGTATTTTCCATTTCAATTTGCTTTATAACTTAAACCACGTCTCTTCTAGCCGTAGGTATTATTTTTCAATTTTGTGCTGATAGGCATGTTTATCAGAACTGGAGAGGTAATTTATTGGAATGAACTAACTGACTTCCTCCATTCCCCCTTTCCTTTTTGACATGAATTTTACTACTTCACAAATGTTAGAATGATGTTGCAAAGTTACCGTGGTGAAGTGGACAAATACCACTAAAACGAGTATGATTTAGTAGTAATTTTCTCCTGCTGCTTTAATCAGATAAATGGTTACTATATGACGTTTTCCAACATGGCATTCTTGGTTTTGGGTATCTGTTACTTTGGCACTATTCTTGTTAGTTTTTTTTTTTTTTTTTTTTGCCAGTGTACTATACCTCAGTCCTATTTGAAAGACATTAATCTTAATTGAAAGAAAAGTCATAGAAACAATAAGTAAAATGATTTGTTTTATAATTTATCCTCCATGTCCAGTTTGGTTAGCTTGTTATGCAATATAAGTGAAATATCAGGTTTTTACTCCTGTGCCCTTTTTATCATTAAAATTAACACAAAAATTACATTCTCCTTTCTTTCATACTTACCTGGGATATTAAGTGTTTTAAAATTGTGATGGATAATTAAGTTAACCCTTTAATTTCTTGAAAGTCACCATACCTTGATATATAGTCTTTCTAGTAGTAACCATGATTCACCACTCTCCAAAATACTACAAATAAAACATTGAGAGGCTTTACAATTCATTGTTAACTAAATTCTTCAGGGTACAAAGGATAATGTATTAAGTTAAAATTGCCAGATTCATTTAGCCTGATGGCATATGAATTAGCTAATAATCAATGAACTCACAGCAACATTACGCATAGTAATAATAACATGCACAGCATTTATCAGGAAAATATTGTATATTATATAAGATTGAAGGACATCATATTTTCAGCTTTCTTTTAAATAAAAATTGAGTATATTTTCCTATTTTATATCAGGTAACTAAATTATGCTAGTCATGTGGAAACAATTGCAAAGTATGCTTTGACAGACCTAATCCTTTCGGTGCTCCATCTGATCAAAGTTGATAAGTTGGTATGTTTTAAGAGACAAGATTTATCGTTGTCTCTTATTTCAGTAGAATAATGGCTTAATGTTAGACATTAATGTTTCTACTTGGATAAATCAAAGATAAATTACAGTTACATGGCTAGATGCATCTTTTGTCATCTAAACTTTATTGTAGTTTCTACATAACTGTAAACTTGACAGATGACTAGCTTTTGTTTGATTTTTGTTCAAAACTGAAGAATATATCTTATTCTCAATGTTCTAGTCAGATAAGTAAAATGTAATTCTGGTGGGGTCCAAAGTAGAAATTAGCTGGGCAAAGATACTATGAATGAGAAAGTATTTTAAACGTACAATGTTCTGCTTTGTGAATATGTAAGTATAGCATAAATATTTCTTTCATCCCATTTATCCCCCTCCTTTAAAATAAACAATAGTTTACGAATTGGTAGATCTGTCTATATATAAATAATCTATTAAAGAGAAAAGATATATATCTGAAAATCACCTAAATCTGCTTTATTAGACTACAGTTCACTTATTGCATAGAAACTGGACTTGGCTTTACATTCTTAATGTACCTTTACTATTCTTTAAGATACGAACTTACTCTCTTGAGACTGAATTTTCTTTTACTTAAATCATTTATGTATATCTGGTAAATTATGACCAAATTTTTGTTAGATTGCATACAGTAAATTGAAATACACATTTGGTACACTACAGGATTGTTGTGGTTTTGTTTTGGTTTTAGTTGGAAACAAAGTTTGATGTAGATGGCTTGTTACTGTTAATTTAAAATATTCTATAATTGTCCATTACCTTTTATGTTGCATTACGACAGTTCTGGCTATATTTTTAGTCAGTTGAATTATGATATTTTAAAAGTTTGTTTTTAGAAAGGTAATCCAAAGGAAAAAATGTTTATACTCTTGACTATATTAGCCTCAGCCTATATAAAATTCCTTCTTTAAAGTAAATGTTTTACCAGAAACAAAATTGACAGATTTTTCTACTTGCTGACTGCCTAATTTATTTTGTTTTATGATCTTGGGGGACTGCCTTTTCCCTTCTAGGTCTTTTTTAAAAACAGTTTTAGTACTAAGGTATACTACTGGACGTTTCTATTTTTTTAAGTATATTCTTTTTCTGACTTACCGTACAATTTCAGGAAGTTGACAGATACTAAGAACTTATGATTGGTCTCAGAGAAGTAACAATGGAATACTCATAATTTTGTCTATGGAACCCTGGCAGAATTATGTGGAACACATTTGTTGAATTTTTCTCTTGTAACTTATATTTTAAACAAAATATATTTTAGAGCTTTTAATTTTAATGAAGGGGAAGAGTATAAATTACTACTTTTATATTTACTCTGTAAGGACAGACCCTCTCATAAATTAAGATCATCATGTATTCTCAGACAGTTACTTCCTCATGGTCCCTTCTTTGTCATAGTTATTGGCCTTATTTTTATATTCACTAGATGTTTTGCTAAATTTTAGCACCCTAGCAATTTAGAGCTAAAAGAAAAAAATTTTAGGAAGGGGAAACTGAATGAGTAGCTTTGAAATTTGGGGGTTAAACACTAGCTGCTTTAGTAGAGCCATCCTGATGGAGAAGAGTGAGAAAGTACTTAGAACACTATCTGGTACATAATAATAAGTGCACAGTACATCTTAGCTTTTCACTAACAGTTGTGAACCAAAGGCCGGGTGTGTGTGTCACAAAAGGGTAAAAGGAGGGAGAATAGGAAATAAAGGATTAAGGCCTAAAGATGATGATGATGGTAGTGTAGTATGGGGGAAATATGATGGAAGCTTAAGTTTTAAAAATACTAAATAGTAAAACTTCAATGAGCTTTATTTATATTTTTAGGATTTTCTGAACACGGCATGAAAGATTTAGATTTATTTTTCTGAATGATTTCAAAAGCTGCCATTTTGGGGTACAGATGGAGTGCCTACATGTGCTATTCATTGTGCTTTACATTATTTTATCTGTCCCCTGTAAGGTAGGTGCTATTGTCTCCATTTTATAGATAAGGAAAGACTCAGAAATTCAGAAACTTGCCTCATTTAATACCGCCTCTACTGAGTACTAGAAATGGGATTTAATCAGGTCCGATTTTGAAGCTCAGATCTTTCCAGGAGGCTGTATTTCTGCCTCATTAAATAACATTTGTAGAACATCAACTCTTAAAGGAGTCTATCTGTGGAGACATGTTTCCCCTATAAAACGCCCTTACAGCTATTTTAGGAAATTGGGTGTTTAATTTGTCCTCCCCCAGATAAATATCTGTACTACTCTTTCCTCCTAACAAAGCAATTGTTTTGTCACTTGACTGTAAAAAGATAACCCAAACAGTGTCACACATGCTATTAATTGGCTATAACGTTTTCATTTTTAAAAGGATGGTTTTTAACTGAACTAGATATGAACCCCAGTTTTATCTGTGCCGTTCAGTCACCCAGATCCTTAAACTTGACTATTGTACACAAATAATGTGCTTAGAACTAGCAGGTGTTTTTTCTCAAGTCACTTTAGAATTTGAAATGGACAGTTCTTTTCCTGCTGTATCCCTGCTTTCAAGTGAAGTTGAACAATTTTAGGTAGTATTAAAATGTGTTAGGGATAAGCACACTTGAAAAGATGGCTTCTAGCCTTGAATTTTATGACATTGGGTACTTAAGTTTGGAGTACACTAGCTACTGAGAACAAAATTTTGAGTTGAGGAGAGAGGGATGGTTGAGGCCATTACGAAATGGGAGAGTCATCGTTTTAAACCCTGTAAACAAAAACACTTTCTTCTGCCTGCTGTTTGTAAAAGCTCTTTGGGAAGATCTTTTACGAAGACCAATTTTTTTTTTTTTTAAATGTAATTTACCTACCTAGTATAAGTGTCCTAAGACATGTATGTAAACTTCCAAAACTGTTTTGTCTGTGTATTTAGAAAATACACAAGAATCTTTATCAAACCTAAAAAATATAAACTTGTGAGCACTAAACCGCTTCTGCTTTGTGAATTTTATTGACTCTAACATTTAATTTAGATTTCTTTACATTTAAAGTAAGTGTACTAATTTGGAGTAATGGGAATAAGGGGACAAACACCTTTGTAAATTTTGACTTATGTGTAATTCATATATCTTTGTACATAAGGTTTACTTTGTAGTTTGAATTACAGAATATCATGAGGTTTTTTTTTTGTTTGTATGTTTTTTGTATGAAAATGTATAAATGACTCAAACTACCTCCTAGTAAGTCAGTCCTTGGAGAGCTGCTTTAATAGATAGAAATGATTTTCTAATGACACTGCCTTTCACCTTTACTCACTTAGGATTCTTTACAGGATTTTACAAACAATTTAAAAATAATTCTCCTATAATTTACCCTTCTGTATAATCTTGGGCCAGTGGGCTGAAAAGCAAAGGTAAACTACTGCTTCCTCCTATATTTACTATGTATTTGTAGATTAATAGATAACAAGTAAATATATAAAAGTCTAAATTCGAAAATTTTTATACTTTTTATTTAATAATACAGAAAAATACCTAATTTGTTTTCTGGAGTTTTTTTGAAAAATAAATTAGTAATAGTTAATAGATTAAGGAAAATCAGAGAATGACCAGCTATTCAGACTTGACTAAAGCTATGAGAATTTTGATTTAGTTTGGAGAAGGGTGAAGGAGCAGGGAGCTGTATAGCATATATAGTATAGTGTCTTTAAACTTGAAAAACTGGCATGTGGCAGATGAACTAGATACATTGTATATAGGAGTGCTTTGGGTTTTTTTTTTGAGAAATTTTTTTATTGTGATGTGAGTGAAAATTTACAGAGCAAATTCATTTTCTATACAGCAGTTCATATACCCTTTGTCTCATGACATTGACTACAATTTCCCAAAATGCAACAGCGCTCTTCCCACTTTCCCCATACTTACCTCTTCCCTGTGCCCTTCCTTCCCATTCACTCTTACCCCATCCCCCACCAGCTGTCTCCCTGTGCGCATACAGCCCTTCTGTTCTCCCATGATTGATCTGTCCAAGAAGTAAATCTATCTATTATAAATGTTCTGCACATATACCTGTCTTTTGTTTGGCTGGAAACCGCAGCAGTGGGTTCAATTCCAGACTTGAAAGGCAGCTAGGGGCCATAGTCTCAGTGGTTTCATCAAGCTCTATCAGACCAGCAAACCTAGTCCCTTGTTTGTTTTTTGTTTTTT